GATCTAAACGTTCTGACAACTAATTGTTGCAGTGTAAGCATGCAGAAGCCAAACACAGAAATATTGGACACAGGTCTTCAGGAAGTAACAGGCCTTTATTCACATTACCGATCGGGTCTCAGATGAACTCCTGTTCCAACATTCTGAGAGACCAACACATAGTGTACATTCCTTATATAGCACTATAACTCCTCCCATTAATAGCTACACCCACATATACCTTTAACCAATCAATGAGCAGAATATAGACTTGTACATCTAGTCAAACCACATGGCTCATCCAAGACAAAGGAAATAAGTGCAATTTCAGTTCCTGCATTCCTGCACATGCTCAGTACACTGATGACAGTATCCTAGCTACATGTAGCTAACCAACTGACACAACATACACATATGCCACATGGAGATTTTGGCCTACTAAATTTTAACCATGCTGGAATCCCATCACATTCCCCCCTTTTGATGCCTCTGATATAACATTATTCCAGATGCATCACCAATCACAGTTTTACCTACATCTCTCAAGTAGCCATTGAACCAGAGTAGACCTTGTAAGCATCTTAAAAACTCCTTCAACATTCTTCATCCTAAATATATTCTCTTCGGGCTAGGGGATCATATCTTCCAGACAGCCATTACATGAGCCGCTGTCTTTCTCTCTATAGTACTCTCTATAATACTACGTAGGGACCTTACCACTAGTGGAATTAGACAGGGCAGGAGGAGGCACAAAAAAAATATAATAAATTCTACTCCTCCTACTAATGTCTTAATTCCTCCAAGCTGCTCATACCAACTTCCAAACCAACTACTTAGGTTATACCCATTCCAGACCTGAGTAGGTACATGCTCAAATTTAACCATGTGGCTTGTAAGTTCAGCCACTGCCTGCCCTTCATCATCTATGTGCAGACAACAGTTACTTAGATTAAACTTTCCGCATACACCTCCTTCTACTGCTAGTAAGTAATCAAGGGCTAGCCTATTCTGGTATATGGCTGATCACATCTTGGTATTTTGCTTAGCTAGAAGATTAAGCACTTGAGCTGTCTCATTAGTAATAATCTCAACTACCGCCTGTAGTCTAATAATGCGGTTGAGCATATATAATCGGAGTTCTATATCCATAAGTACCATCTTCTGCCCAAGTAGTAGGTCCATAATAATTAATAATACGTTGAGGGGGCCACTCATTATCTTCCCAGCTACCTATATTCAAGGATGCTCTCTCCCTTTTATGATTTACATCGTAAACCTTAACTCCCAAGGTCTCTCCTGTTTCGATCGGCAACAAGAAGAAGGATGGCTTTGGCATACCTAATACACATGCCCCTTCCCAATCTTGTGGTAACTCCGAATAAGTTTTATTACCACAAATCCAGTATAAATTTGCTGGGGCTTTCCAACTAGATGTTGCCGATAAGTCAAACCATACCTCCTTTAAATGAGTGTAATTGGCAAACGGATTAGTAGGTTCCGAGACATTTGAAGCTGACCACCAAGTAGTATTTTAGTATTAACATTATAGGCTTTTTGTCCCAAGCAAGTTAGCTCACCTACAGACGTGTTATACATTGTCCCTTTCCTGGCTATACAAACATGACCTATAATGGAGGTTTTTAACCACCATTCCAATTTACTTCTAGTACTTACTTGATGATCAGACTGGAAAGGTATCTGTTGTTCATATGTCTCAGAGCCAGGGTACCATATTTCCTTTGCCTCCCATGGCCACTGGTCTCCCATATTAGTACCTCCACACACATAGCAATTAGTTACATTAAGACTACCTGCAATACCCTCAGCCAAATCAATAAATAGGTTGTTAACATTATGGGGAATTTTATCCTCAGTACTCATCTCCTCATAAAAGGAATGAGAAACCTGATGAGTTTGAGTTGCCACTGTCTCAGTTTCAAGACCTACATATATTATTGTTCCTGAATCTACTCCTGTGCCATATATTTGGAACCCAAACAGACCTCCAAACCTGTCAATAAAGTACTGCAGATTGGAAATGGTCATGTGAACGGGGTTACACACATAGTTTTACAGTATGGTGTGGTAGGCAACCTTTGGATAATCATATCTTGATCCACTGTTTTTCCCAGGTTGCCCAACCTACACATGACAAATAGGGGCAGAAGTTAGTCTCTATTTGGGCAATCAGGATCAGTAGATCTTATACTGGGACATAAGTATTTATCATTAAACCCATAAGTTCGTTCCCATTTAAGATTACCACATACATTCCAAAGTCTTCCACTACCCGAAATCGCCTTACATGCATCAAATAGTAGAATACCCGTGGAATGTATGGTGCTTATCACAGTCCTATTTAGTAATGTCCCCTGGGAGTTACTATTCCGAATTACCAACCAAATTGTACGGGGTTGGAAATGGGGATCAAAACATTTAGACTCTCCTGATATTGGCTTGCACACACTATAATCAATATCCAAATATCTACATTTAGATACAGATCCCTTACATTCATACTGTGAGTGCCAGATGAGAGTTTGGGATATTTGGTTACCTGTTTTAGTAGTCTTAATGCAACTATCGCAATTCGGTATGTCTGTACTCCTACCTTCCTGAAAAATCATAAAAATACTAAGACACAATAAAACACATTATTCCTGAAATCCTCATTTTTCTTCAACCGTGCGATGGCCTCTCAGCTTCCCGATTGTGAGGGCTGCAAGGATGTTGTTCTTCTGATCCTCACTTTCCTTCACAGAGATCCCTTCAAGATACTCTGGCTATGACACGTAGGCAGGTGGTCAGGCTTTATTATGGCCGTCAAAACACCTACTTGATGATCTTTGTAGACTTTTAACTAGAATGTCTCGATATCCCCTCGTCACTCCGACTGAGTTGCACGCTTCAACCGGGTCCTGCAAGGATTCTCAGGATCTGGAGTAGCTTGCCAAGAGTCTGCTGCTGGTTTAACCTTAGAATGATGAATCCAAGGAGTCACTTCCGCCACCTTTACAGCTGTTGGGGTAGATAAAAGAACAACATACAAAGGCTAACAGGATACACCCCGAGCTTTAACTCAATATGTATTGGTGGGATATTACGAGCAAGTCCTGGAGGATTATTTTCTTCCCATACTCCTGGAATGTCAAATAAGGATTCATCACTCTTAGGGTTAACACTTGTCACTATGGAATAGAAGCGTCATTCTTCTTCCCTTGGCACCGATATCACCATTATGCCTGGTAATCCCTTAAACTTCAGAGATGTTAATCCATTAGGTAAAAGGTTATCTGAGCTTAAAGCTTCGATAATAGATCTCGTCCTAAAAGTTGAATCGGACACTCTGGCATATATAGGAACTAATGCTTCACCACATGGCCTCCCAGAATACAAGTGCGACTCTTAAGAACCGGTCTAGCTGCACTTCTCCCAGTAGCTCCTATCACAGTTATAGTCTTCCCCGAAGGCGGAGCCACCATCTTAGTCACCACAGAATGTTCAGCACCTGTGTCGATCATGAAAGAACTTCTCTTTCCCCCTATTGCTACATCGACCATAGGCTCCGCTCGACCAAGTGGGATGGAGCCCAGTCGGTATCAATAGTCTTCCATGATAGTGTCAGCCAGACCCACAAAATCTCTATCCTCTCTTTCTCTAGGTCTCTGCGTGGGTGGATAGTATCTGTCTCCTTGAACACTTCCTCTACTATTCCCACCATTCCCTCTAAAACTTCCTCTTCCTCTATAACTACCACTATAACCTCCTCGTACCCTTCTCTCTCCTTGTCTATCACCTTCATACTGCTCTCTCTGTGGACACTCACTCTTCCAATGTCCCTCCTTTCTACAATACGCACATTAATTCCTACTTAAAGTCCCTTGCTCAGCCTATTCTCGTCTCCTCTATTCACTTCCCTGTCTTTCTACACTTAAGATAGCTACCGCTAGCATATCTGCCTTTTTCCTCATTTTACGTTCTTCCTCCATCTCCCTATTCATATATACTGTATTTGCAATCTCCATTAGCTGTATTATGGACATCCCTACAAATCCCTCTAATTTTCTGTAATTTCCTTTTACTATCACCTTGGGCCTGGCTGACAAATGCTGAGTCTATCATTCGGAAGTTTTCAGGGGCCTCTGGATTAAAGGGAGTATACAACCTATTTGACTCAAGCAGTGTCTAATATGGGACTTCGGCAAGGCTGCCCAATAATAGGTTCCAGTCTATGAGTAGTAAGATAGGTGTAAGGGGGTGAGCTAATTTTATTAGTCAGCATTTGGTGGATGAAAAAACGTTTTTGTTTAAAGTGTTAAACCAAAAACCTACCAGTAGGTGTCACCAGAGGGTAATTGTATCAAAATAATCTTTATGGGTCTAATAAGAAAACTCAACTTTTAATATATTTATACATAAAATAAAACCTTATAGCAATAAATATATTAAAATAGGGTAAGCAATCCTACATCTATCTGTTATAAACAATGTATTATCAATGTAACTCCCAAAGATGGCCAGTAGGTGGCTTAGAGTGCCTCCCTAAAGTCAAATGAAACAAATAGACTTTAATTAATTATGTCCTATTTTATTATTACTTATTTTAATCAATGTCCACCCTGATATCTAGGCTTGATTAAATCTTTAGTTCTAAGGTAAATTAAACATTTCAGTTTGTAGTTTAGTAAAAGGGGACATTTTGGACAAAGCTGGGAGGGGCCCATCCAGTAACTAAAAAAAGACCATATACCATCTGATACCATTGATCATTGATTAGGGGGAGGGGTAGTACAGAAATACAAGAGTTTGAAACACAGGAACAGATAGGTATGTGGGTAGGCGGGGACAGTAGAGCAGGGGGAGTGCAAATACTGACTATATACCAGTTCTTAGCTTGGGAAGAAGAAAGGGGCGTGGCTACTCTGGCTCTGGAGGATGTTTGGGGGGTTGGTAATCAGATGCCAGGGGGGGGGAGGGGATGTCCAAAGCAGTTGTAATTAAGTCCTTAGTTCTGACCACCATATGGCTACATTGTTTCCCATATGACACAGTTTAACTCACCAAGGCAATTTTTCAACAAATCAGTTTCCAACAGTCAATTTATAGAAACTGATCATAGAATTCCAGCCTACTAGTTACAGCCACATGTACACCCTGCACTAAATTTAAGTGAAGACTGCTACATGGAGGCCATGCGGCCACCAGGACAAGCTACTCCCTACTTTTTTTTTTTTTTTAAACATACAAGACAAAGCCTAGTGAATCAGAAGATTATTTCAACAGAACGTCTGATTCAAAAAGCTGTACAAATATACACACAGTTTCAACAGTCACACCAATCTCCTTATCACCAGCAACACATTGCGCAGTCACTAGGCCCAAACACACACACAGGATCCTCACATGCTCAACAATATCACGACGTCGCACACACGAAATTAAATCAAAAAACCACCAAAGACTATACACTTATCAATGTAACTATTATTCAAACCATACAACTATCCACGCTATTAATCCATATAAACTAACCGATCACATAACATTTCAACAAATTCATCTCTACAATTATCCGTACTATAAATCAACTCTTGACTAACCAACTATATCACATTCTAGTAACCTCATCTTTACAGTCAGTGGTTATGGTACAGTTAGTAAGTGGTTATAATACAGTTTTAAAGTCACAGATCAGTTAGTAACAGTTATGGTATTATACATATAACATAAAACAGCAATTGTTAGTAATTTTTACACAATGTCAGTGGTTATGGTACATGTCAGTAGTTATGGTACCGTGCGCTATTTTACAGTTATACACACAATTTACACTCCCACTAGACAGCAGAGCTCTAACTTTCTAGTAGGACATACAAGTTAACCAATTCACCAACTACAATATATTTAACAACATTTACAATAATCCCAACTATTCTAACTGGCCAGCACCTCGAGAGCTTTCGATCTATTTATACACCAGAGATTCGATAAGTTCTTCGCTGCCCAGACACCACGTATAGCGAACTAGAGGGCAGAATTTACACAGTACCCAGCTAGTCTATTAAACTATCAATAAGCTAGTGGCTGGATTTACAACAGAGCACACTTAGTTAAGATAGGGTGAAATCTAGCAAACTATAATATACAACAGAGTATGCTAGTCTCCCGGTCCCCCCGACCTAGCGAACAAAATTTACACCCTAGATACGCTAGTCAAGACAGGACACCGGTGTCCGACATGAGCTATTTACACCAGAACTCAGTCTGACCCAAACCACCTATATTAGACGGGCTGACTACAGAGCGTCTAATTTCCAGATAAGTGTTGCGCTTTCACTTCTTCCTTCTATTGAAGGGGCCAATACCAATAACCGGTTCCAAATATAAAACCCCTTGTGGGTCTACCGCTCTAACGGTATCAATCTTACCTGTTAGTCCTGGACCTGGGTTCACTCATAGACGGAACAATCCGGGACTCACTGCGCAGAAGCCGATGATCTCCTGGACAAAAGGCCAGTGGCGCCGAGACGAAAGGAGGTCCACGCAGTAGAAGTCCAGGATTGTAGCGTAGAAGGTTTGGTAAAAGTTTACCGTCTCAAATCTCTGTGCCAGCTTCCGTGCGATGAGGTTCCCGGCCCAATTGCACCAGAAATGTTGCAGTGTAAGCATGCAGAAGCCAAACACAGAAATATTGGACACAGGTCTTCAGGAAGTAACAGGCCTTTATTCACATTACCGATCGGGTCTCAGATGAACTCCTGTTCCAACATTCTGAGAGACATATACTTGTGGCTTGGGACTTTTGTTAACTGCATATCTCCTCCCATACAGTATAACCCTTCCTATATTCCTCAGACCAATCAATGAGCAGAATATAGACTTGTACATCTAGTCAAACCACATGGCTCATCCAAGACAAAGGAAATAAGTGCAATTTCAGTTCCTGCATTCCTGCACATGCTCAGTACACTGATGACAGTATCCTAGCTACATGTAGCTAACCAACTGACACAACATACACATATGCCACATGGAGATTTTGGCCTACTAAATTTTAACCATGCTGGAATCCCATCACATGTATACCATATCCGATTGTGTATGCTGTGTGGGTTTGTGTCATTATGTGTAGTGCAGTGCAAGGATTTTTGGCTACACAGGCTAAGATGCATTTTACCGCACCCCCCCACCAAAAAGCATCTCTTAACCCCCTCTTTGAATCTCTTCCCTTCTTTAGCCACTTCTTATTCCATCTTTTGAATCTTACCCCATTTTGCCCCTTTAGTGTATTGTATTCCCCCTTGTGTGTCTCTTACAATCTCCCTTGTGTATCTCTTACTTTCCCAGATCCTTTTTGTCTCTTAATTCCCCAAGACCCTTTTTAGTGTCTCTTACTTCCCCACCAGCCGATGTGTGTGTCTCTTACCGTCCCCAGTCCCATTGTGTGTCCATTTCTCCCCTCTTAGCCCTGTCGGGTGTCTCTTTTCTCCCCAGCCATACAGACATAAATATACAGGCAAAAAGATATACATGCACAGACACAGTCATACAATCTACAAATACAGGTACACTGTAATACATACACAGATATACGGTCATACAGAGACATGCAGACAATCTCGTATAGAAACATACAGTCATACAGTGACATGCAGACAATGTCCTACAAAGATATACAGCTATAGTGTGACATACGGACACAGTCATACAGTGACATACAGACACTGTCCTACACAAACGTAGTCATACACTGATGTACAGACAGTTGTACACAGACATAGTCACATACAGACAAACATTCAGATACCGTCATATACAGACACAGTCATACAGAGACATACAGGCACAGACATTCAGATACAGACACTGACATACACAAACAGATATTGAGATACACACACAGTCATACACAGATATTCAGGCATACAGTCATACATGCAGTCATAATTAAGAACTAAATATAGCAACATGTATTTCTATGTCCCTAAGTGTTCCCATCTTTTCATTACTGAGCAGATCTACTCTCCCTCTATAAGCCCTCACTGCAGAAAGAGCTGGCCTCTTACAAGCTTTATCTCTATGTGTCTGTTTGTGGAGGGGGATCAGGAGTGAATACTGCAGGGCTGTAAAAAGCTGCTCTGCATGTTAACCTTTTGAGTGCTGGTATGGCAGGAGGCAGCTACAGCACACTCACAGCAGCACTCCTCGCTGAACATGAGTGTGAGGAGAGGTAGCAGGAGGAAGGGGGCAGAGCTAAACATCGATCCTAGAGGATCTCCCAGATCTGTAAGTATGTATCTCTCCCCACTCTGCCTGTCTCAGGAAGCATGTGGAGAGATACATGCAGATCTGGGAGGACCTCTTAGAGTTCCATCAGACAGAAATACCGGCCCCTGCATTGCCGGTACTCCTGTAATATGGGTACCAGCCACACAGCCTCAAATACCGGCTGTGCTTGTAAAATACTGGTCAGGTGGCAATCCTAGGTATGAGTGGCAGTACTAGCAACGTAGATACACTGTAGAATCCCAGCATGTTTTTAGCCTATAATGTCTTGTCCCTCCATCATCCGCTATTGCTCTCCTGGGAAGAGTGGTATAATGGAGGCATGATCTAACGGCAAAGCGATATCCTGCCGATATTCTTCCATGCACCATTTGTCCATTCGCTGCTTGCATTACACAAAGGGGAGGGGAGGAGAAGAAAGTGAGCTGATATTAGCTCACTCCATTGACATGATCTACAAAGGCGTGCAGATGGTGTGATTTGCATCCCTAGTTTAAAAATGTATATTTCTTTTTAAAAATGACAGGCTGAGGGACAATCTATTTCAGGCCTGCACAACATACGGCCCGTTGGCCCCCCAAAAAATGTAGCGGGCATGGAGTAGGGAGAGCCCAGGAGGAGGGAGAGCCCAGAAGAGCTGGTACTGGCATGGAGGAGGGAGAGCCCAGGAGAGCTGGTACCAACATGGAGGAGGGAGAGCACAGCCCAGTACTGGAGACTGTCAGTGAGTTGCTGTGGGGTAAAAGTGAGGGCTATTATAATTTAAGGAGAGATAAATGGTAAGCAGTAAACGGATGAAAGGAAAATATATATAGTAAGGAGTAAAACCATAACCTGAAATGATACCCAGTAAGGAAAAATTGAAAAAAGGGGATTTACTGTAGGAGTAAAATAATAAAATAAGCCGGACAAACACTAATGCACTAAAAACATATCTGCAGCCCAAAGTAGTTTAGCTTATTTAAATTTTTGCCCCTACCTAAAGCCAAGTTGTGAAGGTCTGATCTATATAAATACAAGGCAGGGTTTTCCTGCACATTTTGAGACTGAGCTTAGACAGAGACACACTTGTCACAGCAAGGGTATATAATTAATTTTTGCAGTATAGAATATTGCTATTTAATGTAAATTTAGTAGTGTATACATAAATTGGCCGCTTGGTAAAGGAAGATGTCAGAAAGGGTAAACCCCTTGTGTGACATTTCATGAGTCCCTTTTATTCCAGAAGTTTGATCCTTAGGTGGTTAAAGGGACTCTCCAGTGCCAGGAAAACAATCTGTTTTCCTGGCACTGCAGGTCCCCTCTACCTCCCACCTCCCATCCCCGATTGCTGAAGGGGTGAAAACCCCTTCAGTCACTTACCAGAGGCAGCGACATGTCCCACGTCGCTGCTTCTTCCTCCGCCACTACTCCTCCCCTTCATCACGTCAACCGGCGGGGGAGACCTAATGCGCATGCTTTTCAATGGTTTCCTATGAGGATTTTAGCGATGCTGGAGCACAGATAATCTGTGCTATGATCCTGGAAGTGCCCTGTAGTGGCTGTCACTTTAAGTTGTGCAAATCATGTTTATGCTTGTTTAAATAGGGATATATATTTTTTACAATTCAATATGGGTGGTATTAAGGGGGATTTTCATAATTACTTCTGATCTAGTGCAGACAAATAATAAACTTTAACCCTTTCACCACCAGAACGAAGTCACACACACTCTTGGATTTGGATGCGTTCGTGACAACATTGCTGTAGCCTTTGTAGTTTATGCAGTTGTACTTCATTGAGTCTCCTTTGTAAGACTTGGTGAGGTATGCCACTCTCCCAGCAGCCTTTTTTTTTTTGTCTTGTTTTAAAGAGGACTGGTATACTGCCACCTGGTATTCAGAGGACAAAAATCCAGTCAACGAAAGGTATAAGTTGCAACACACAGTAGTGCAGTTGCTGTAAGAAACTTGCTGGGTCTTTTAAAGGTAGTGCTAGGGTTATTAGAAAGAAATCAGGTAGCTCCAAGTTACCCTTCCTTTCCTACCCCTAATACAATTTGTATTATTATCACTTGTTATACAAAATTTTAAAACTTTAATAAAAATTATTTGAAAAGAAGTCAGGTAGCTTAAAAGCAAGTTGATCTCACAGCCTCTTCCACTACTAGCAGCCTCTCTTTATTTGTTTGTGAAAAAAAGGAAGGTGTCAAAGAGAGAAAGATTAACACAAAGCATAGCATGACATGCAGCAGAAGAGGGGAATTCTGGATGACGTAAAAGTGCAACCAGAGCCTATGACGTCTGCAAATCCATGCATCAGCAGCTGCAGTGCCACCAAAATACATGTGAGCATCAACTTTTGGGTAGATGTGCTTGGAACTGTAGTTGGACACCAGAAAAAACGAGAAAGGAGAGTGGTGCCTCCCTAACAGTTTACCTCTCGGAATCTCCTTTGCACCCAACTGTTGACCCTTTTAGCTACTGGAATGGCAAAGAGAATATGTGTAGCCTGCAGTAGGCTTACAGAGCAACATTCTTCAAAAAAAAAAAACCAACAAAAAAAAAAAAACCACACAAAACAATAACAACGTATAAGAACCTTCAAAATATATTAATGATGTAAAAACCTATCAAATGCATTATATTATATTAATGAAGTGTAAAGTAGCAAAGCATAAACCAATAAAAATGTGGATAAATAGTGGAACATGCTAAAAGGATAACTGGAATATGCTTTTAAAGAGATACTCCATAGCCATAAAGCACTTCAGGCATCCACTCTGTTCCGTTGGTTGTAAGGCTAATTCAACACCTGTAAAAACTATAGTATTTGTTGATATAGTGCATTACAATTTTTTATGAATAAACACTTATTATTGCAAAAGAAAAAAAAAATGGTGACAATTTTAAGCATGTTTTGTATGTATGTATTTGTGTGTAGTGTTGCTATTTGAGAGCAGTGGTGTACTAGTGTTTGTATTTGTATGTACAGTTGGTGTTTGATTGGATGCACATCATACTGAAACACACACAGACACACACACACAAACTCATACACACACATTTACACACTGATTTAAAACACTTACTGCCAGACACACACACAACTTTATACACTGACAGACACTCTCAATGGCAGACACACAATTTCACTGATTTGAAACAATCACTGACAGACACACACATATAGTGACAAACACACTTTACTGAGAGACAAAACACATACACACTTACTAACAGACACAATCTCACTGATTTGAAGAACACTGACAGAGACACGCACACTTACTGACAGACAGTTTTATAAATTGGACTGACACACTCATGGATTTGAAACACTTACTGACAAACATACTGACTGGCACACTCATACATTCACAGATTCTTGCACACACACTCACAAATTAATTAAATTTTTTGTAGTTTTATTTTTCTAGACCCATCCAGCCTCCCTACATTTGGGAGAGCTGGTGTGGGTCCTCTCCCTGGGATCCAGTGGGGAATGCATCTTCTGCATGGGGTTTAGTGGCTCCTGCAATTTTGCAGCTCCTCACTGCTCCCTCGTGCGCTGTTTAGTGATGTCTTACTCTAGCTACCGGCATCACCGCAGAGGGCACGAGGGACTGTTAGGAATTGGAAGAACATCAGTGCTCCCTCACCGCTGCCTGCCTCCACTCTCCCCAGTATATTTCGGCAGAACAGGCACCTTCCATCTGGGATAATAAGGTGCCTAGGCTGCCTTACTGAATAAGCACTCGCTTTGGGGGTGCACTAAGGTGACCAAATGGCCACCTCCTGGGTCCCCTGTGACATGCCATTGGCCCGCTCCTCTCAGTGCCCATTTTTGCACCTGGGGCAGTCGCACCACTGCCCCCCTTCCCTCTCCCAGAAGTAATGCTACTGGCAGGGCTTAGCTTATTGGTTAAGAACAATCATCTGGCAGCATCACATAAGCACTGCATTACAGGGCTAAACCCGGAGTGCTTAGGAACCTCTGATTCTCTTACTTTGGTAATAGAGGCTGGGAGCACTGCCAAGTGGACCCCAGGTAAGAAGTTAAAAAAATATTTTGCCAGCTTTAGACAACTATTTTAGACCATCCCAAAAGCTATTATCTTGTTAGACATCAACAGTAACGATAATAGAACATTACCTATGGCTATGTAAAAACATGTAACTTATAAATGCTATTAATGTCTTACTAGATAGTGTGTGACTGCAACACACCATAATAAAAAGCATCTGTCTGCTACTGTTAGTGTATCTCTTACACTGCAGGCTAGGTAAGTCCCGCACATCAATCCCAGTAGTTCCAAGAATCATTTTGATCAGTCCTCCTGTAACTGCTGTAAATGTCCTGAGCATCATGTGGCTGTCATGTCACAAGATGGAAAACTAGGGGGTTTTAGGTTTATAGGCAAGCAATGAGCTGTAACAAAAAATAAAAAAAAGTGTGCAAGGCGCTCCAAACAATATGTGTAAGTGGTTAAATAATAGCAAACTGGTATGTAAAAGTGCTTCCTCAACACTCAAAAAGACAATAAAGCATAACATATATATATACCAGCTACAAAAACCCCTTTAAGTGCACTAAAGAAAATGCGTTTCAGCTACAAAAAAAGCCCTCTTGCAGTGAGCACTGGAAGAAAGCTTTTTTTTGTAGCCAAAATGCATTAGCTTTATAGACTTGGGTTACTATTAGGTGGTGAAGGGGATTTTAAGTATACAATTTTTACCCTTAAAACCATTCTTGTTTTTAGTACGCAGAGAATATTTTATGTTTATTTTTTTGAATAATAAAAAAAATATTTTTTTTTGAGAATCCATTGAATCTTTCTATATTTCATCTTGGGAAGTGATCTTTAAGACAAATTGGCACCCTTGAGCCCTGTATACAGAGCCTGGCACGGCTCTGGAGCATGTGAGTGATACTCCGCCCCGTTACCTTATATATTTTACAGTTCACACTATGTGGTATCTTTTCTGTTTTTATAGGTATCTTATGTATATAGTGTGGTACCAAAAAAAACTTGAATAAGTTTGTATATCAATTTTTTCACTTACGCACTAAAGGGGATTTTGTAACTGATATATATATGTTGGAAGGCCATTTGGCCTGAATTTGTGGAAGGAGTTATGACCCTATTTAAACCCTTACCACCCTACTTATCCCCGGTCGTTCAAGCGGTTTGTCGTCTCCATAGTTACCTGCACTTCCGGTTCGTTGTTCCCGCTAAGTCCTGTCTCGAGCAAACAGTCTTTAAATGTAAGGATTGCGGAACATGTCCGTAATATTAAAAAGGGTCTTGACACACATTCTGTCTCCCAACACTTTAAAACCCAACACCATCAAGACCCTACGGGTCTATTTTTTTGTGCAATAAAATTAGTTCAGAGGGATTGGAGAGGAGGAAACTATATTAACAAGCTGGGTAAAGAAGAAATGAAATTTATTTTTAATTTTAATACTCTTATACCCAATGGTCTTAACTCTGATTTTGAAATCTGCCACTTTTTATAAAAAAAAAAAAAATTTTTTTTTTTTTAATTTAATTATAATAGATGACTGAATGTACATATATGTTTTTATATGTGTCATTTTCGTCTTGTTTGTATTATGGTATTTTTTATTTTTTATCTACCTTTGTGTTAATTTTATACATAATTCCATATACCATTTTTATATGATATGATTTTTTATAAGATTTATAAGATTCCCTTTTATTAAATATGGAGGTTCCTTTACTTCTTTTACCCTATACTAAATGTATCTATCAGCATTTATATTGTCTATGGCTCAAGAAAAAACAGAGCCTGTACAGATATGGACTTTCGTTATTTGATTAGAGAGTAAAGTTTGTTGAATGTGTGGAACGCATATGCGTTCCAACAACGACCCAGCTAACAACCCGCGGACCGGAAATACATCATCAGGACGCGACTTTTGTTATTTAATTAGAGAGTAAAGTTCGTTGAATGTGTGGAACGCATATGCGTTCCAACAACGACCCAGCTAACAACCTGCGGACCGGAAATACATCATCAGGACGCGACCGGAAGTGAAAAAACGGCGCGAACCCGGAAACAACGATTCTCCTGGACAGGTATAAATCCATATTGCTTTATGGACATTACTAGCAACTGAGGAAGCCCATGATCTGGGCGAAACGCGTTTTGCAATTTGTTTGGACTTTATATGCACTTATCATAGTGCTGTGTTAAGTTCTTACTTACTTTTAAATATTTGTATTTTACTTTTTTATTACCTACTATTAAAAGAATTTAGTCCCCAATATCCTATTGGAGTGGACATTTCTTTTAGCACCACTGGAAGAGCATTTATATCCAGAAAGATATCCAGAAAGGGAGTGGGATCCCTTCCAATCATCCCACAGGCACTCTTATTGAGCCATTACTTATTGGCTCCTCCTTTGTGAGTACTAAATCACATATTTACTGTTTGCATATATTGTATTGTACATTATTGCACTAGGTGCTTGTATATGATTTTATCTCCACAGTTACTCCATTTACCTACATGATACCATCTTTTACCCTGAATTGCATCATTCCACCCATTTGTATGTATATGATTTTATGTTATTTGTTGTGTGGATAGAGAGGTTACCACACGGGTGTTTTTAGAGTGATTTGGCATATATTTGGGTCACACGTTGGAACTCTGTTCTTGTATTTTTTAGTCTGTCACCAGCAGCTCCTGCCACGACCTCCGGGCCTGTCCACCGACTTCTAGCCGTCTTCGCTACCCGCTTCCGGTCATGAGACCGGCACATACACGTAAGCATAAATGTGGGAAATAGCGTCTGGCTATTTCCCACGTTCGGGCCTAAAAACGCGGGGATAGGCTCCCTTCACTACTTACCCATTCGTGCACTTACTCTATTTGTGTACTTCTGCGTCTGTGCGGCTAACAGTCCACAGAGTACACACACTTTCGTTTTTCTTTCATCTAAATTAACTGCCAACTTACGTTCGCCTGTTCTTTTGTACGTTCGTACAGCCGAACACTTATAAACGGCTTTCGTGCAGTCTTTCGTATGTTCCACTTAACCGACTGCAGGTGGTCTTTTCTGTTTATTTTCCTCTCGTTCGTTCACTTAGCCGAACGCAGGAGTTGTCAGCACAAATTTTTTTCAATATATGTCATGTATGTACTTCATTATGCCATTTACTGTATAAAAGCACTCCCCCCTTTTCATTTATTTATCTTATCAATTTATGTGTAGTATACGGTTTCCAATACCTAAATAACTAAGTCTGTGTGGCACTATTTCCCCGTCCATGGTCTCATTAAATTATGGATCAACAGCAAAAACATATGTGAGGAAGGCTGAACTTGATGGACGCAAGTCTCTTTTCAGCTATGTATCTATCTATGTAATGTATTCAGGGGAATCTTTTTAAAGACACAGTTCGGCCTCAAATCACTTTCATATCGGTAGGCTAATACACCATCAAGCACCTAATTTTAACCCCACTGTAACTTAGTCCATCATAGTACCTTTTCTTTCCCCTAGTATACAAACTAGTCATCTGCGTGACTAAGTTCACCCCACCCACTACATTCAGAGCATTAGCTCAAATTGCAAATCTCTGTTTCCTTAAATAACCTTATACTCTGGTTCCTTATACTTAGAATGCATATGTTTTAGATTCAACTACTCTTCTTCAAACAAATCTTCAGGAAGTGGTATCAATATCCCGTTTCACGGTATCAGGTATGAAGGTTTACCATTTTTAAGTTTCTCTTGAGGCCTCATTCAGCCTCCACGGCCTTATACAGCCTCCCCACCTCCCAAAGTGGGTCCTAAACTTTATAACACACCAGGTCTAAGATTCCTCACTAAGATGTCTACAACAATCTCATAAATCTACAACACTGTGTTACTATTTTATTAACATGTCATTTCTTGTTTATCATTTCTACATATCATTACTTAGACCTGTATCATTATCGCAGTTTCGCTACGCCATCAACAACCAACAGGCTACCTGGTCCCATGCATGTCAGTATCAGGCATTGTTAATCTTACTCACTATGATTACGTTCTCTTTAAGGCCTCACTTCGCCTTTGCATCATTCAAATAAATTTACATCTGTGGGAACCCAGGGGCTTGTCTCTAATTTACGGACCAATGTTCAGGTCCCTCAGCTTACACAGGTTCTTACGTTACAGTATCTCTGATACACACCTATCCATACGTTCGACACTTTTATACTTGGCATACCAGTGGCATGCCTCAGGCCCACTAGTATCTATCTTACACTCAGGTTCCTGGACTGGATCCGTTCCCAGCAGAAGTATATATTTATATATTGAAGTCTTCCTGCGCATTGTCCAAACAAACAGGACAAACACTCAAGGTTGGTATCTACATACGTTCAAATACATCATTCCATGAGACAAGCCCCCCTCAGGTTAGAGAACTGGCTTTTAGGGTTAGGCGCTGGCCCTAGCAATCCCAAGTGAATACTACGGTCCTGCTAGGCCTACATCTCACCTAATACACAGAGGTTCGGCCCCACGACCAAATCATAGCTAGCCACCTCGCTCGCCCTCCTTTTGGGCTACAGCTAGGGCATCCCAAGTCACGGCCACATGTTTTGAATCTCTTTACGGTCACCGAGAGGCCAACACCCTGCCACCACGTTCAGTTGGCCACAAAATTCCCTCGGCCCAAATCATAGGTAGAGCCTCTCTCCGCCACTTGGCACTAGCAGGGCCTCATCTGTCACTTGGTTCTAGGTAAACTCTTCGCTTCGGCACTAGCTAGCAGGCCAGTTTTCTGGAGGCCCCATCCCCACCTCCTCTACACCCTACTTATCCAAATCATGATTCCTTTTTTCAGAATGTCACAAGAACCGATAATCAATCTGCCGTCGGACGAAATACCCAGCACGCCAGTCAGGCCTGGGTCTCCGGAGGAATCCCTCACCCCTTCTACCCCTAGATCTATGAGATATGGGACTATCCTAAAATATCGGCAGAGCTCCGGCGGATCCCCTTTCCAGCCACCGTTAGGAAGGCCAAACTATACAGGCTCCTGACGGCACAGGCCAACGACCCTAGGCCTGGCACTAGTTCTCAAGGACCTCCCGCTCGCTAGAATCTCAAGGATAGAGTCCACCCAGGAGAACCTGGCGGCGATTTTGGTCAATCTCCAAACGACAGCAGGAATCGGCTATAGCCACAACAGGTGATTTATCACACCCAGCATGCCCTACACTGGTAATCTCAGCTGCACAGACTGACATACCCCTCATTCCCCCTCCCCCACCAGCCACCACCACTACCCTATACGTCTCAACAGCCCACTCTGTCCCTGCTTCCATCAAGAAGGATATTCTTGATGGAAAGGACGTTAATCTACTGTCTCTTCTCATAGCCTACCAAGATATCCTAGAAAACAGAGCGTATAACTACGGGGACATTTCAGTAGTATTAAGAGCCAGAGATCCACGACTTAATAAAAAACGTACCATTTCCTAGTTTGTCATCGCATTTGGCATTTATTGCAACGTTATCTGCACGGTGTACCCACATAGGAGAGAAGAGCTTGACTTATACATGCACAAGGTGGTTGATTTGGGCATCAAGTATGGGGGGTCCTCATTTTATGACTACCACAAATCAGTTTCGGCCAAGGCAGCTACTCATCTGGCACAGTTCAATATTAGAATCGACTGGTGCCAGATGGATACCGAGCTGTTTTGCCGTCATTTTGCTGGTTTGAGGCCCCTATCCTGTTCCTCATGTAGTTCCACTTCTCACTCCATTGACTTGTGCCCTTGCGACGCAGACCCTTCCACTTCCACTTCCCACCACTCCTTTCCCACACTCATGAAACAGGAAGGCGGACAAAGAGACAAGCTGGGCAGACCCATCACATTTCTGGGCAAGGCGCAGGTGTGCAATAACTTCAATATGGGGGCATGCAGTTACAGCGCATGCAGGTTGTGGCACATCTGCTCCAATTGCTTCAGAGCCCACACCAAGACCAGGCCCTGCTGTCACCCAACAAATGAGCTGGTTTTCTACTCACACTCACACCCAGCTGGGCGACCGGGAATTATCTGGTGACGGGTTCTTTCACAAAGTTTCTCACACAGGACTTACAACCTTCCCCTCAGGTACAATCATTTGACCTAAACCCCCTTTTTTTGTTACCCACACCTACTGCATTACGTACGGTGGAACACTTTCTGTCCACAATTCATACGCTGGCATCATGTTCAGCTCTTGCTCATCCTAAACGTACCTACCACATCAGGGGTCGCTATTTACTTTCACTCCAATTAATTAAACGTTTATTATTGACATTTTCGCATCTTATTTCTTCCTCCATTCACAGCATCAATTCTCTCATACCCACCGAGTAGTTTCTCTTCATAATATGCGAAATCGGCTGCCACGCAATCTACTATTTCAGCGGGTATGAAGTCATGGTTAAGCAAGACAGGTATACCATAGACTCACAAATTCACAGACACAGCTGGACGTGGAGGGTCTGTAACCACTTTGCGCAGCTACTGGTTTGTATCCACTGGCCAACTGAGTCAGATGCCTTCATAGTCTTCAAAGAAACATCCAATGTTTCACATCCTTGGTGTACACAATTCAGCTGCTGACGTTCTTTCACGCTCTCAATTACAGGTCTCCGGCCAGGCACTCCCTCCTGCCCACCTCTATACGTCCAGGATACCACCGTTCCTCCAGCTAATCCAGGTTTAAGCGGACTATTACTCCATGCACAAGCACTCGCGCACCAAGCACTGTCACCCAAACCCACGATCATTTATGCCAGGGCACTGACTATTTTTAACAAATTCACAGCTGAATTTTACTTACAAGGAGATTTTTCCATTAAAACTATGGTGGCTTTTGCCTCTTTCTGTCATTTATACCTTAAACTTTCACACAATACTATTAAACTCTACCTTACCGGTATACAACACCACTTCCTCACTACCTACCCTAACCATGAACCTCTTCTTTCTTCCTACCCTCAAAGGTCACAGTTCCCCCGGGTACTACTAGATTGCCGATAGACGGTCTAATATTCAGGCTTCTTAGCGATCTATTAGACAAATCCCCGTTTTACCATAATACAAATCTGTTCATTAAAGCCGCTATCTTTTTGGCTTTCTACGGTTTCCTCAGACCTAGGGAGTTCACCGTCATACGTCAAGGAGATACCGCTCTTTGTCTTAAACTTTCTCAGTTAAAGAAAGTAGATGACCACTACATGCTCTCCTTACCTTCTACTAAAACTAATCACTCCTCACCCTATCCTACTATCATTCCTCTCTTCCCTACCGAGAATCTTTGGTGCTCAGTTAATATTCTGGATTTACTCCTGTTGTCTCACCACATGCACTCACCAGACACTCCACTACTACTACTCCAAGGGCACCCACTCACCACAGCTAAATTCATTTCACACGTCAGAACCCTACTATCAGGATTGGGCTACAACCCAGCTTCCTTCTCTGCTCACTCATTCCGCATTGGTGCAGCATCATCAGCTTCAAGCACTAACACCCCGGTACACATCATTAAGAGACTGGGGCGCTGGAAATCCTCAATATACAACACTTATATTCCTCGACCAGAGAGGGAGCTCAGACAAGCCTTCAGAAATCTCACTGTTTAAACTTGCAATAAAGTGTGTTTACTTTGAATCCTTTTTGCCCTCTTTTTACAGGCCTACTCGTACGTTGGTTTCGGCACACCTCAACCAACTTTGCTTCTCCTTCTACATTCTATTTACGTATTAGAAATTCGGAGCACAAGTTGGAAGGCCATTTGACCTGAATTTGTGGGAGGAGTTATGACCCTATTTAAACCCCTACTTACCTTTGTCGTTCAAGCTGTTTGTCCCCACCCACCTACACCCTTTTTTTTATACCTTTCACCTTTGAAGGCCCTTTTTTACAGGCCTACTCGTACGTTG